TATTTCTTATTATTTTATAATTATTTTGTTATTATCAATTACTATCTAATCAGCCATTGTATACTTTTACAATAATTAGACCTTGTAACAATCTAAGCCACAACGCTATAATTTTATTCCTTTTTATCATTATGATACAGTGAAATACAATTTGATGTGTTGCTTTCATATATTGTGCTCGAACGTGTTACTGCAGCAAATGTAGAGGAAGTCCAACTCTCTTTGGATAAATAACATTGAGTGCCAGACCAGTTACTGAAGTAAACTGTAAAGTTCAATTCTCATTGAATAAATAACATTGAGTGCCAGACCAGTTACTGAAGTAAACTGTAAAGTTCAATTCTCATTGAATAAATAACCTTGAGTACCAGACCAGTTACTGAAGTAAACTGTAAAGTTCAATTCTCATTGAATAAATAACCTTGGGTGCCAGACCAGTTACTGAAGTAAACTGTAAAATTCAATTCTCATTGAATAAATAACATTGAGTGCCAGACCAGTTACTGAAGTAAACTGTAAAGTTCAATTCTCTTTGGACAAATAACCTTGAGTGCCAGACCAGTTACTGAAGTAAACTGTAAAGTTCAATTCTCAATGAATAAATAACCTTGAGTGCCAGACCAGTTACTGAAGTAAACTGTAAAGTTCAATTCTCATTGAATAAATAACATTGAGTGCCAGACCAGTTACTGAAGTAAACTGTAAAGTCCAATTCTCATTGAATAAATAACATTGAGTGCCAGACCAGTTACTGAAGTAAACTGTAAAGTCCAATTCTCATTGAATAAATAACCTTGAGTGCCAGACCAGTTACTGAAGTAAAATGTAAAGTTCAATTCTCATTGAATAAATAACCTTGAGTGCCAGACCAGTTACTGAAGTAAAATGTAAAGTTCAATTCTCATTGAATAAAAAACATTGAGTGCCAGACCTTTTACTGTAGCAAATGAAGAGGAAGTCCAATTTTCATTGGATAAAAAACCTTGAGTGCTAGACCTGTTACTGCAGAAAATGTAGGAAAAGTGTTACTCCGATTGGATAAATAACCAAACGGCACACTTTACTGCAGCAAATGTAGAGGAAGTGCAACTCTCATTGGATAAATGAACTCGAGTGCCAGAACCATTACTGCAGCAAATGAAGAAGAAGTGTTACTTTTATTGCATAAATAACCACGAGGAAGACTTTGATGCAGCAATTATTCATTTTCAGTGAGAACAAAGACTTTCGATGGGCGTGGGTTCAAACCCCAGAAACGGATTTTTTTCAATATTTGTCTTTTAAAGCAGAAAACATAGCAGGAACTAGCGGGGTAATAACTCAACTTTGGAAGCTGATATGGCAATAAAAAATTGAAAAGGGAATAAATGTCAAAAGGTTGTTGTGGCAAGCAAGTGTTACGGTTCAAAACTGTTCACTATTTAGGGGAGAAGATGTGTAAGCGGCCAAATAGCTCAGTCGGTAGAGCCGCGGTACGGTATTCCGAGGGTCCCGGGTTCGAGTCCCGATCAGGCTGCACATTTTTCTCATTCTGTGACATTTGACGCCCAACGGGGACCGTAATGGTATAAGCTCCAAGTTCAATTTCACATTGTTCTCTGTACCCATTAAAAATTAAAAACAATTTTCAATATAGCGGGGGGGGGTATGTCACGATTCAAAACTGTTCACTACTAGTATTTAGGGAAAAAGATGTGTAAGCGGCCAAATAGCTCAGTCGGTAAAGCCGCGGTACGGTATTCCAAGGGTCCCGGGTTCAAGTCCCGGTCAGGCTGCACATTTTTCTCACCCTGTAACACAAGCAACATTTTGAGTACTAGATGTGTGTTCATAGTACGATGTCCCTGCAACATTTGCTTAATGTTGGCCAATATCAAAGTGATCTTTTATACACATGTTTTAACACCGTAGGGAACGTGTTACAGTATCGCGTTTTCAAGTTACAGTATAGAATTTTAAAGATGGAGGATTATTTGTGGGAGGACAGGTAGGTGATTTTTATTCCGGTCCATACAACAAGAAGTTTAGTTTCTAAAAGATGTTTTTGTGCTTTGCTTGTAAGGAACAGAATCCGGTATCTAGTCATATATTTCTTCAGACCCTGCACCGCAGATTTATCTCTATATTGTCTCATAAATATGCAGATTTGGCAGTTTGATAATTTGAATCGAGAGAACAACGCATGTTTCTCACATTCCGACATAATTTATGCATGCCTAGAAAAAGTCAATCTGCACAACGTTAGTCCTTTATGTTAGGAAACGTTTATAAAAGTAAATGACCAGTTGAACCTATTTTCCTGTTCGTTAAATGCGTTTGCAAAAATAAACAATGATTCAGTATAGAGCGAGGTGATTTGTGCTGGGTTACAGCATAGACCTAGCTATTTCCATTCGATTTTGTTAGTTTATACCCAGATTTCTGTTACAGCTTAGACTTTGATATTTTCTATATATACTAGGTGAAATGTATGAATAATACAGACTTTTAAATTTCTAGAAACTCAACTGGTTAGCTTATTGGCCCCGTCTGTCGTACACATGTGACACATTTGTGTACTCTCATCCGCTCAGTAACTACTCGACTAAATGTGAATGAAATTTACATGACTTTCTACCAAAGTTGTCCAAATGGTTTCAGTTGCAATCGAGGATACGAAAACCCAAAATATAGATTTTAAAAAAAGGCAATGTTTAAAGATCCTTCTCATCTCCAACCAAAAAGCATTCCAACCAAATCATGATTATGGCGACATATCGAATGCTTCTTTGTTGAAGATTATTAGTCATTATTAAATTAAAAGTTTTTTATTTCAGACATCATGTAAAGAAGTTTTCATGTTTCTGAAAAAGAAAATAATGTTGAAAGTTATAGAGTATAAATTAAGGTCAGACAATTACAATATCTTCTGTGTGGGCCTGGTGGAGGTACATATAATAGTGGCAGTCGGGAAAAGGCCGCCGACTTCAATCATCTTTCCTTTACTGCTGTGGTTGAAATCTCATCATGACTTTGGATTCTTTGTATGTGAGGAATCTGTCCAGCTAGCTTACGGAAGGTCGGTGGTTCTAGTTAGGTGCCCGCTCGTGTCTGAAATGTTTCACAAAGGGTATCTGGTGTCTTTTTTTTACACAAAAGCAGGAATGTTTTCACATGACCTCAGTGTCGTTGAAACTTAAAATCCAAGAAAACCAAACGTAACAAACCCTTATTAATACTTACAAAATACACTATTTTAGATGGAAATTCCAACTTAAAATACGTTTTAAGGTTGAAGTTTTTCTCACTTAAATACTGTTTAATCACCCTTAGGGAATTGCCTGCTTTTTAATTGTGTCTTTTGACAGTTTATCTGTGGTATGCAGGTTTCATAACCTCCGATCCCCTCTCAAAATTTTAGTTTATTTAGTTTCCCTCATTGAATTATCGTTTAGGGCACACGCAATTTTTAAACTGGGGTTAATATGCCGCTTTTCATGGAATGGCAATAACGTGTCACATTCAAAGTTCCATGATAACCGCCATATGAACACATCCACAGATGTTTAAAAAATCTAAAGTTTACCAGTTCATGTTTAATGTGAATTCTGCTGAAGCCGTTGCTAGGAGGCGTGGACGGTAGCTTGCAGTTGCCACTACCGTCCATGAACTGGCTCAATCAAATTGAGCCTGCAACATTTTCATGTTTTCCATGTTAGACTTCTGTTAAGGATTCTGTTTTTTCACTATTTCATTACTAATAGGCATTATTATAATGTGTAATGGAAACAAGCAATAATATTTCTTCTCTCCATACAATTTGGTAAAAGTTACTGTTGTTGTTGTGAAAACAGTCCTTACTTAGGACATTACTTGTTCTGCAAAAAGTCTCAATCTGAAACTTAAAGTAAGGAAAATAGTAAGCTATAACTTTTCTGCTGAAGAAAAGAAGTAATACAACCTTTTCAAGAATGTATTAAATAAAAAGGTATGAGTTATTTAATAAAAAAAATGGATACAAGAACTTTGTTTGAAATTTTGCAAGTATCTAAACTGTAACCGAAATCTGGGTATAAACTGTAACAAAATTGGATCAAAGTCGCTAATTCTATGCTGTAACCCTGCAAAATTCACCTCGCTCTATACTGTACCATTGTTTATTTTTCAAACGCATTTGAGAATAGGAAAATAGGTTAAACTGGCCGTTTACTTTTATAAACGTTTCTTAATACAAAGGACTAACATTTTGTTAATTTACTTTTTCTAGGAATGCTTAAATAATGTTGGAATTGGAGAAAAATGCGTTGGTCTCTCGATTCAATTTTTCAAACCGTCAAGTCTGCACATTTATGAGACAATATAGAGATAAATCTGCGGTACAGGGTCTGAAGAAATATATGACTAGACACCGGATCCTGTTCCTTACATGCAAAGCACAAAAACATCTATTAGAAACTTAACTTCTTGTTGTATGGACCCGATTTAAAATTTACCTTCCACTCTTCCCATAAATAATCCTCCATCTTGAAAATTCTATACTGTAACCGGAAAACGCGATACTGTAACACGTTCCCTACGGTATTTAACGCAATTCATTAAAGGTGATTTGACATGATGGAACTGAATTATTTTTCAAGATTAAAGTTTCGTTTGATGTAGGCCTAGACAAATAACTTGTGTGCAAAAATTTAGACCATTCGCTTATTCCGTTTTTCCAGAATTATTTTTCTAATTGTGAAAAATGACCCAAAACTTTAATCAGACAAGAATAGCACAAAATATGATTTTCAAATTATTTCTGAGTTTATTTCTTATTTGTATTTTGTATATCTTTCTGCTTAAGTTGCCCCCAGCGATATAGAATAAAATAAAAAAATTCTTTTTTAAGGGGTTTTTGGCCCTTTCAGGGGAGCCCCGAAAATTTTTGTGGGGTTTTTTTTTAAATGGGGCCATTTTGGGTAGGGATAAAAATTGTGGGGCTATATCAGAAATGTTGCGGGACAATAAAAGGGAAACGGGTAGATGCCAAAGCAAATTTTATTTCTATCAACATAAAACATATGTTGGCAATTACAAAATAAATTATGAATTAACAGTTTCAAGTTTCCATCAATTCATACAATTTGGACATTTTTACTATTTATTTCACCATTCATTTTTTTTGCTTATCAATAACAAACCACAAAATTTTAAGAACATGTATTTCAAAAGCAAAAATAAAATTTCCTTATAAAACCATCCTAAGAATATCAATCACTCTATGTCACTAGTTTTTTTGTTTGTATTTTCAAGCAAGTGTTGCATGTCTTCTAAAAATGGACTGATAAAGTATATAAATAAGTTTTCCAGACAGAGCATTGTCAATTGTACACACCTTCAGTCTAAGTTATGTTTCCTGTTTTAAAGTCCTGAAAGCATGTTGGACCTTGCCTGGGTGTTTAGGGAACATGAGCTTATTGCCTAGATGTCTACGCCTCAGTGGTGCATATACCTCGATCAGATGGTCTTCTATATTTCCTGGAGTCACGCCAAGGTCTTGAATTGTGTGTAATTTTCTATCTAATGAATCAGATACGGTTTCCTGAAGAAGACATTTTACATATATTTAATATATCTTAACAAGTGTATTTCCTGTTTTTCGCAAGAAAGATGCAAGTTAAAATATATCTGCTCCCAAGAGAGATTCAGAAACCAGAAATAGGAGGAGCTTGTTTGGTTTAAACATATTTATGAAAGATGGATTAAGAAACAAGTTCTTGCAACTTATATAATCACTTTTGAGTCGTTTCCTGGAACCAACCAGTACTGGTGTCCTATGAAGAAACATGGTTGTGACCTGATGCAAGGTGCTTGTAATCAAAAGACATGGTACACATTGATTTGTATATAAGGCCTGTAAGACATGGTACTGTGATTTCGATTTATGCATATAACGCAAATGACATCACATCAAAGTGTTATTACACTAGTGTAATATCATTGTTATTAAATGGTGTTATAACACACCTGCTCCTGCTTACCTGCTAATAACCCTTAACCTGCCAAATGTCTGTAATGGATTTGCCAAGCTTTCAATTTATAACAGTCCATTTGAAGCTTCAAAAATGTAAGTTCCGTTAAATATTGACAACTTTAAACTCAGGCTTCCATTTCAATATATATGTATGAAAACAATATATTGTCATCAAAATTAAAACCAGCCTGGAAATTTCAATTCATTTTTTACAAATGTTTTACTATCTGCTAGAAAAGTGCAAATTTCAATGACAGATGAAAATTATTCTATTTATATATCCAGTTTTAGGTTTTTATACCACAGAATATCAGAAGTCAAGCTTGTAAATTGAGAAGCGAATTTCAGTGACTGAATACAAACCCTTTCAAGCATGTCCCGTGTTACTTTCGGCATAGGAAATCCTATCGTCTTGTATACTTGTTCTCTTACAGCTGCTTTAACCCTGCAAAAACAGAATTATAGATATAGTATAATCATGGTTTAATGACATTAAACTCTCATATTTCTCCTGTGAATAATTTATTTTGAATACAAGGTTTCTTCTAGTCCATTTTGATAACAGATATTCAGTCATGTTCCCAATGCCAAAACCTATGTTTTTTCCCAATTTCAAGGAGAAAATTCCATATTCATGGAACAAAATAAATAAAATAAGTAGGGCTGGGGAGATAATCCGAGTACTCGGATAATCACGGATCAAAGTAAAAAATCGAGTTTGAATATTCGTATGCCCAGAGATCGTGGATCTCGATCTAATTTTTTTATATACATTCACTGTTTCTCACACTCTTCAAAAATCGAGAAAAATACGATTTGAGTATAAATTATAAATTATGAAGTTTACCTAAATACAATTTGCCGGTTAAAGACCATGTACCATGATGTTGAGCTAGGTAGTAATTGGTTTCAAAAAACAAAACAAAAAATACTCATCCAAAGAATAAATACATAAACAAAGTTTATATTTTATATGTTAAATGTATAGTATTGTTGCTGTTTTTTTTTAAATGAACATGTTTTTATAACTTTTGTACATGTTTTTATGGGTGTCTTGATAACCAAAGATTTGTGGTTCGATTTGTGAATCGTAAGTGCTGAATCTTATCTGACGATCCACACCCCTAAAAATAAGTAAAATTATTGTCATTTTATTATATTTAAAGGGAGACATAGGCAAAATTTTAATTTCTTCGATTTGAATTTTACTTTCAATATTCTATAAATGTCCTCAAAATGAATACACTAAGCAGTCACAGGTCCTTAAAAATAATACAAGAGGGCCATGATGGCCCTGAGTCGCTCACCAGAAACAACTTCAGTGTTGGAATGTCAATATTTCCTAATATTTAATTTAAGCATAGAATATGTTTAAACAATAATTTGAAGAAATGCCATGACCTGGGGCATTTAAGCTTTAGCTTAATGCGGCTAATCAAATTAATATGAGCAAACTTGAGAAAAAACTACCTAAGAATGCTACAAAGTTTGGTGATCATCTATCAATTATTTCAGTAGGAAATGATGTTCGAAGATTTTTTCTATTTTTAGCTTTAGTGGCCCCTTTCAGACAAAGTTTGGTGATCATCCATCAGTTAGTTCTGTAGAAGAAGATATCTAAAGGTTTTTTTCTATTTTAAGCTATAGAGGTCCCTAAAAGGGGCCATTCAAATTAATATGAGCAAACTTGATAAAAGACTACCCAACAATGCTACAGACAAAGTTTGGTAATCATCCATCAATTAGTTCTGTAGAAATAGACATTTAAAGGTATTTCTATTTTTAGCTTTTGCAGCCCCTAAAAGGGGCCAATTAAAATAATATTAGCAAACATGATAAAAGACTATCCAAGCATGCTACAGACAAAGTTTGGTGATCATCCATCAATTAGTTTCGTAGAAATAGACATTTAATGGTATTTCTATTTTTAGCTTTAGCGGCCCCTAAAAGGGGCCAATCAAATTCATATGAGCAAATTTGATAAAAGACTACCCGAGAATGCTACAGACAAAGTTTGGTAATCATCCATCAATTAGTTCTGTGACATTTAAAGGTATTTCTTTTTTTTAGCTTATGCAGCCCCTAAAAGGGGCCAATCAAATTCATATGAGCAAACATGATAAAAGACTACCCAAGAATGCTACAGACAAAGTTTGGTGATCATCCATCAATTAGTTCTGTAGAAAAAGACATTTAAAGGTATTTCTATTTTTAACTTAAGCAGCCCCTAAAAGGGGCCAATCAAAATAATATTAGCAAACTTGATAAAAGACTACCCAAGCATGCTACAGACAAAGTTTGGTGATCATCCATCTATTAGTTCTCTAGAAAAAGACATTTAAAGGTATTTCTATTTTTAGCTAAAGCGGCCCCTAAAAGGGGCCAATCAAATTCATATGAGCAAACATGATAAAAGACTACCCAAGAATGCTACAGACAAAGTTTGGTGATCATCCATCAATTAGTTCTGTAGAAATAGACATTTAAAGGTATTTCTATTTTTAGCTTAAGCAGCCCCTAATAGGGGCCAATCAAATTCATATGAGCAAACTTGATAAAGACTACCCTAGAATGCTACAGACAAAGTTTGGTGATCATCCATCCATTAGTTCTGTAGAAGAAGATGTTTAAAGGTTTTCTATTTTTAGCCCTAGTGACCCCTGAAAGGGGCCAATCAAGATAATATTAGCAAATTTGATAAGAGACTACCTAAGAATGCTACAGACTAAGTTTGGTGATCATCCATCCATTAGTTCTGTAGAAAGAGACATTTAAAGGTTTTTCTATTTTTAGCTCTGCTGACCCCTAAAAGGGGCCATTCAAATTATTATGAGCAAACTTGATAAAACACTACCCGAGAATGCTACAGACAAAGTTTGGTGATCATCCATTAATTAGTTCTGTAGAAATAGACATTTAACGGTATTTCTATTTTTAGCTAAAGCGGCCAATCAAATTCATATGAGCAAACTTGATAAAAGACTACCCTAGAATGCTACAGACAAAGTTTGGTGATCATCCATCAATTAGTTCTGTAGAAGAAGATGTTTAAAGGTTTTTCTATTTTTAGCCCTAGTGACCCCTAAAAGGGGCCAATCAAAATAATATTAGCAAATTTGATAAGAGACTACCTAAGAATGCTACAGACTAAGTTTGGTGATCATCCATCCATTAGTTCTGTAGAAATAGACATTTAAAGGTATTTCTATTTTTAGCTTAAGCGGCCCCTAAAAGGGGCCAATCAAATTCATATGAGCAAATTTGATAAAAGACTACCCAAGAATGCTACAGACAAAGTTTGGTGATCATCCATCTATTAGTTCTGTAGAAGAAGATGTTTAAAGGTTTTTCTATTTTGAGCTCTGCTGACCCCTAAAAGGGGCCAATTGGAATGACATGAGCAAATCCAAGTGTGACTGTCACAAGGATGCTACAGACCAAATTTGAAGTAAATCTGCCTTGTAGTTTCAGAGAAGAAGATGATTGTTGACGCATGACAACGGACGACGGACGCCAGAGCATCCCCCTTTGATACTAATAGCTCACCCTGAGCCTTCGGCTCTGGTGAGCTAAAAATAGTGGTTTCCAAACTTGACCCACATGGGTCAGGTTAGGGTATTTAGAATTCACAGAAGTTGTTATAGGGAACTATAAAAAGGTAAAATACCTGTCTTGAATGAATTAGTCTTACTTCAATCTAACAATATCCACAATATCTTTAATTGTAATTTCCAGAGTTTTTTCTAGTTACATGACTTGTTTTAAAACTACTCGGTGAATCTGTCGGGGTCTTAATTTTGTTCAAAATATAAAGATATAATTACAATTCAAACCCAAAGTATATAGTATTTATACAGAAATTCATGGCAAAGGGCTTTTTTAAAAATATCAATTTTTTTTAGGGGGGGAGTAAACAAGGGGCAATTTTTAAAAATTTTTTTCATTCCCTTTGCCTTAAAAATCCCTTTAACTGGGACAATGGCCCCTTGAAAAATTTAACCTTGCATTCCCAAAATTTTAATGGGGCTTTTTGCATGAAAAATAAAAAGGGGGTTTTAAAAACCCAAAAATTTAATTTTAAAGATAAATATGTTGTCAGTTTTTCCAAAGAAGTCTAAAGCTTTGTAAAAAATCCCAATTCTGGGGGTCGGTTCATGTTGTCAACGTGTTGAGAAAAAACCCTGGAATATTATACCTAGGGAAATATTCAATCCCTCCATTGTGTGTATTTCCCTAAATGACTTCAGTTAGGTAAATATTTAAGCCCTCCATTGTGTGTATTTCCCTTAATGACTCCAGTTAGGTAAATATTCAATCCCTCCATTGTGTGTATTTCCCTACATGACTTCAGTTAGGTAAATATTCAATCCCTCCATTGTGTGTATTTCCCAAAATGACTTCAGTTAGGTAAAAATATTCAATCCATCCATTCTGTGTATTTCTCTAAATGTCTTCAGTTAGGTAATAAGTTAGAAATAATTTTTTACATACTAACAAAAATCAATCATATTTGGAAACAATAATAGACCATATTGACCGGCAGCAAAGAGTTATTACTGAAACTGAAATATATGAAAAATATGACATACTGATCCGTAAGTCCCATCTTCCGGATCGTCCAATCTAAATTCATAGTATGCAGTACAAATTCTACCAGATCAAATTGACAATAAGCATAAGGACTGAAAAAGAATAAAAATCATGATTAAAGAAATGTATGAATTGAATTCTGATTTGTGTTGGGTTCTTTTGTCGGACTTTAAGTCACACCAACAATGCAAAGGTCAAAAAGTGACTCTCCAGCTTTACTAGGAGGAAAGCCTCGGGTGCCTGTTCATGAATTATTTTATGCACAAGGCTCTATTTTAGTTCTTTGTATCCAATTTCATAAAAATAACTCTTTTCTGATATTAAACATACGTTTTCTCAGGAAGCAATTGTTTTCATTGGTTATGCAATATTGCTTATCCAAACTAATATGCATTATTGCTTATCCAAACTAAATGCATGTAATGTTAACACTAAAACATGTTAACACCCTACTAAAACGTGTTAACACCCTTGCTTCGTTTAACTTGTGTGTCTTTCAGTGTAATCAACTATTTTATTAAGTATTCCCTTCAGAAAAATTAATGCTAACAAAGATTTAGTAATCAAAGCGAAATAATTCAAATTACTTGCTATGCAAAGCAATAATCAAGAATCAAATTGAGAAAAATTCTGCCTTCAGGCTTTCAGTAGATGCAACAACTGTATATTCATTTTATCAATACCCGTGCCACTTTTGCGACAAAAAATGGTATTGCACTGCTGTGCATATATTTTGACAGGATGTCAATTGCGTTATATAAGCATAGCGTTAAGACACACTAAATGTTAGCATTATACTAGAGGCGTCAATGAAAAATGGTTCTTTTTCACTTAAAACGGTCTTTATTTTTGGTATGTGATAACAAGAGCTGTCGGTAGGACAGCAACGCTCGACTATTCTAAGTGCTTGATTGTAAAAAAAATGCCTGATACAGTTACCTCCTCCTGTTTACAGGTTGGGGTAATGATGGTGAACAAGTGTGCAAAGTTTCAAAGCCATATGTCAATGGACTTTAAAAATATTTGAGGTATTACAAAAACTTTAACATAAATTCTAAGTCGAAAAAAGGGGCATAATTCTGTCAAAATGATTGATACAGTTACCTCCTCCTGTTTACGGGTTGGGGTAATGATTGTGAACAAGTGTGCAAAGTTTAAAAGCCATAGGTCAATGGACTTTGAAAATATTTGAACTATTACAAAAACTTTAACGTAAATTCTAAGTTGAAAAAGGGGCATAATTCTGTCAAAATGCTTGATACAGTTACCTCCTCCTGTTTACAGGTTGAGGTAATGATGGTAAACAAGTGTGCAAAGTTTCAAAGCCATATGTCAATGGACTTTGAAAATATTTGAACTATTACAAAAAACTTTAACGTAAATTCTAAGTCGAAAAAAGGGGCATAATTCTGTCAAAATGCTTGATACAGTTACCTCCTCCTGTTTACAGGTTGGGGTAATGATGGTGAACAAGTGTGCAAATTTTCAAAGCCATATGTCAATGGACTTTGAAAATATTTAAACTATTACAAAAACTTTAACATAACTGGTAACGCCGACGCCGACGAGGACGCCGACGCTCGGGTGACTACAATAGCTCTACTTATTCTTATCGAATAGTCGAGCTAAAAAGGAAATATTAAATTCATGTAAGTTCATTAATGAATTTATTGAACTTGTTGAATAGAGTATTATCCTCACCAGAGGCTCACTTAATACTTGATATAATTTTATTCAACTTGTTCATAAAATTCGTAATTCATAATATCCTCTACATACTTATCATGTAATTACAGTCAGGCAGGCTAAATCATACTTTTAAAATTATATATATAAGTCTATTATATTAAAATACCCTGCTTATCTAAATAAAGCTTTAAATATTAAACATCCACAAGCTGATTTATCTGCCAATAATAGATGTTTTCTGAAACTCTGCAAAAGTGGGTTCTTTCCCATCATATATTCACATTAGAGAGATCAATGTAATGCACTTGACTAATAATCAATATATTTACTAAGTTATATTGTAAAACTTTGTTTGTACCAAGGGATTAGATAGGAATAACCCACATTTGCTGAGATCCCGAGTTTACTTTATTACACCAAATTGTATCCAATTAGGTAGTTGGTAACTCTTTTCTTTTTTATGTCACACTGCCAAAGTAAAGATCACATTGTGTCTTTCCTGCTTACTGGAACAACTGGACTTCAGGTGCCCCTTTCTTGCAATATTTCAAGCACAGACATGCATAGGAGTAGAACCACAAACTTACCTAAAGCCAAATGAATAACTTCATCACAATAAAGAATCCAAAATCCCTGATGAGATTCAAATTCACAGCAGTAAAGGGGCAAATGATTTGAAGCCAGTGACTTTAACCTGTCTGGCCAGAGACCCAACAAGGTTTATTATACAACAGCAGTTAGGAGCAAATGATCTCAAGTCAATATCATAAACCACACTGTCACATGTAACTCACATCTCTGTCACACAATTTAGAGGGAGATATGGTTGCCGTGGTGATAGAAATAGTAGTATATTTCTTACCCGACAGTCTGGTAAGTGTTGCCATGAATATTAGGGTCAAACACAGCATTCACCAAAGCTTTAGCTACATCATCTGTCTACAATTAAAAAAAAGCAGATTATACATGTATGTGATTAAAGTGTATTTACTGGAAAAAAAACTTTTTAAAAAAGAATACTTCCAAAATGCTTGTATGAAAGAAATATGGTAGAAAATTACCATTTAAGTGAATACTGCATGCATGAAGCATTGCTGAACGGATAAAAACCTACTTAAAATAGTAGAATCGTATTTTGTTTTGGAACATTTTTTTCTGTTTACGTACAATATTCATGTGTGTTAAATAACTGAGACATTCTATGTTATAACTGTTTCGGGAATCAACCTTAATATTACGGAAAGAATAAAAAAAATTTCTGCTGATTAATTTTATAAAAATATTTCATAAGATATAGCTTTACACCCTTTAAACTTTAAACATCACAAATTTACTTATCTTCAAATTATAATGTTTATAATATGTCACAGCAATATAAAATACACTAGAGATAGTAGAGTAAAAGATCATAAATTCATAATAATGATCATCTAATACATGAAAATCCTGAGAACCTTCCATGTAAACCTCCAGTTGAGGAAACCATGAGGATTCTATCCATGACCATATTAATTTTTGTAGGAAAAGTTACAATACATTATATTCATACATCAGTTCCTATCAATCTTAATAACAACAAAAATATCCTTATGAAGCTCTCCTATCTAGAATAAATTGTACAATTCAATAAAAGATAGCAAAGAAGAATTACCTTAACAGGCATTTTTACTGTTTCCAGACCTAACTTCCAAAGGTTCATATATCTTGCAAATGTGTCTGAGATGTCCAAAATATTAAAGACTGGATACATTGTTGATCTACCTGAAACAAATAACAGACATTTCCCACTTTAATGCAGATGGTGCACACCATGCAACGCTTCAAGAAATACTTATATAGAGGACATTGAATGAGTGTAGTTGTAATAATATATTTATTGAACAAGTTGGATAATATGAGCCGCGTCTTGACAAAACCAACATAGTGCGTTTGCGACTAGCATTTATCCAGACCAGCCTGCGCATCCACGCAGTCTGATCTGGATCCATGCTGTTTGCTGACCAACTCTATTGCAAGTAGAGAAACTGATAGCGAACAGCATGGATCCTGATCAGACTGCGCGGATGTGCAGGCTGGTCTGGATTCATGCTGGTCACAAACCCATTATGTTGGTTTTGTCTTGACGCGGCTCAAATTATATTATATTGTGAGCCTCTGGCTTGTACATTACATCAAATTGTGTGCAGATGATGGTTTTTAACCCTTACCACCCTAAAATAACTTCAATGGACTTGTCCATCTTTCAATATGGGCAAAACCATTCATTATATGTAGGGATAAATTTCAAAATACATACACACTGAATAGCAACCAGTGCAGACCATGATCTTGGTAGCTTATGTAGCCGCCCAGCAAACTAATAGTAAAAGCAAAAATTAGACCTGTAATGGATAGAGACAATATCGATGTATCGTTGATATTTTTTTCTTGATGTCTATAAATTATGAAAATTCACCAAAAACATAGACAAAAGCAGGTGGCAATGTCTAACACTAAGCTGTTACTACACGTACATAACAATCACATTTCATAGCAGTGATGACAAAAACAAGAGGGCCATGATGGCCCTGAGGTCGCTCACCTGTATATAGGCCCCCGGAGCGGGGCCAGTTTAAACTCCAGGGCTTTTATTTGAACAAACTTGGAAGACACCCATTAGAACATGTTTCATGATGTTAAGTTTTTACTACACACATATAATGAAAAACAATGACCTCTTCCCCCCACCCCTGCAGGGCCAATTTTAACCCACGGGCTTTTATTTGAACAAACTTGGTAGACAATCATAAGAAGATGTTTCATGCTAAACATCTAAGCTCTAGCTCATTGGGTTTTTTAAAAGAAGATTTTTTAAGTTTTTACTATACATATATAGTTAAAAACAATGACACCCCTGGGGAGGGCCAGTTTTGACCTGAACAAACTTGTAGACACTTACTAGAAAATGTTTCATGCTTAATATCTAAACTCTAGCTATTTGGGATTTTTCAAAGAAGATTTTTAAGTTTTTGCTAAACACATATAAGGAAAATCAATGACCCCCGTGGCCGGGCCAATTTTGACCCCAGGGCTTTTTTTTTAACAAACTTTGTAGACACTCACTAGACCATTTTTCATGCTTAATATCTAAACACTAGCTATTTGGGTTTTTTCAAAGAAGATTTTTTAAGTTTTTGCTATACACATATAAGGAAAATCAATGACCCCCGGGGCGGGGCCAATTTTGATCCCAGGGCTTTTATTTGAACAAACTTGGTAGACACCCATTAGAACATGTTTCATGCTAAATATCTTAGCTCTAGCTCTTTTAGTTCTTTAAAAGAAGATTTTTTAAGTTTTAACTATACACATATAGTTAAAAAGAATGACACCCCTGGGGCGGGGCCAGTTTTGACCCAAGGGCTTTTATTTGAACAAACTTTGTAGACACTTATTAGAAGATGTTTCATGTTTAATATCTAACTCTAGCTATTTGGGTTTTTTCAAAGAAGATTTTTTAAGTTTTTGCTATACACATATAAGGAAATCAATGACCCCGGGACAGGGCCAATTTTGACCCCAGGGCTTTAATTTGAACAAACTTAGTAGACACCCATTAGAACATGTTTCATGCTAAATATCTTAGCTCTAGCTCTTTGAGTTCTTTAAAAGGAGATTTTTTAAGTTTTTACATTATGCATATAGGGAAAATCAATGACCCCCCTTGTGCGGGGCCAATTTTGACCCCAGGGCTTGTATTTGAACAAACTTGGTAGACACTCACTAGAAGATTTTCATGCATTATATCTTAGCTCTAGCTATTTGGGTTCTTTAAAAGAAGATTTTTTAAGTTTTTACTATATGCATATAGGGAAAATCAATGACCCCCTGGGGCGGGGCCAATTTTGACCCCAGGGCTTTTATTTGAACAAACTTGGTAGACACTTATTAGAAGATGTTTCATGCCAAATATCTAAGCTCTAGCTCTTTGGGTTCTTTAAAAGAAGATTTTTTTAATTTTTACTATATGCATATAGGGAAAATCAATGACCCCCTGGGGCGGGGCCAATTTTGACCCCAGGGCTTTTATTTGAACAAACTTGGTAGACACTCATTAGAAAATGTTTCATGCCAAATATCTTAGCTCTAGCTCTTTGGGTTTTTTTAAAGAAGATATTTTAAGTTTTTACTATATGCATATAGGGAAAATCAATAACCCCCGGGGCGGTGCCAATTTTGACCCCAGGGCTTTTATTTGAACAAACTTGGTAGACACTCATTAGAAGATGTTTCATGCCAAATATCTAAGCTCTAGCTCTTTGGGTTCTTTTAAAGAAGATATTTAAAGTTTTTTCTTTCGGTTGCCATGGCAACCAGAGTTCTGCATGGAATTAAATTCTTTGAACAATTTTTAAAGGTGACCACCAAAGGAACATTCCTGTGAAGTTTGGATGAAATTGGCTTAGTGGTTTATGAGGAGATGTCATTTGAAGCAAAAGTTTACGGATGGACGGACGCCGGACGGACGCCGGACGAAAAGCGATCACAAAAGCTCACCCTGTCACTTTGTGACAGGTGAGCTAAAAATAGCTCTTAATTTGAATTTTATGAGTTTTTGTTCTTTATTTAACTACGGAATGAAGCTCATAATAATCAAATGTTTGCTCGGACGGACGGACGCCGGACGGACGCCGGACAAAAAGCGATCACAAAAGCTCACCCTGTCACTTTGTGACAGGTGAGCTAACAAGAGCTGTCGGTAGGACAGCAACGCTCGACTATTCTTCGTGCTTGATAGTAAAAAAAATGCCTGATACAGTTACCTCCTCCTGTTTACAGGTTGGGGTCATGATGGTGAACAAGTGTGCAAAGTTTCAAAGCCATATATCAATGGACTTTGAAAATATTTGAACTATTACAAAAACTTTAATGTAAATTCTAAGTCGAAAAAGGGGCATAATTCTGTCAAAATGCTTAATAGAGTTTCATCCTCCTGTCTACAGGTTGGGGTCATGATGGTGAACAAGTGTGCAAAGTTTCAAAGCCATATGTCTATGGACTTTGAAAATATTTGAACTATTACAAAAACTTTAACGTAAATTCGAAAAAGGGGCATAATTCTGTCAAAATGCTTGATAGAGTTACCTCCTCCTGTCAACAGGTTGGGGTCATGATGGTGAACAAGTGTGCAAAGTTTCAAAGCCATATGTCAATGGACTTTGAAAATATTTGAACTATTACAAAAACTTTAACGTAAATTCTAAGTCTAACAAGAGCTGTCGGTAGGACAGCAACGCTCGACTATTCTTAGTGCTTGATAGTAAAAAAAAATGCTTGATACAGTTACCTCCTCCTGTTTACAGGTTGGGGTCATGATGGTGAACAAGTGTGCAAAGTTTCAAAGCCATATGTCAATGGACTTTGAAAATATTTGAACTATTACAAAAACTTTAACGTAAATTCTAAGTCGAAAAAGGGGCATAATTCTGTCAAAATGCTTGATAGAGTTACCTCCTCCTGTCTACAGGTTGGGGTCATGATGGTGAACAAGTGTGAAAAGTTTCAAAGCCATATGTCAATGGACTTTGAAAATATTTGAACTATTACAAAAACTTTAACGTAAATTCTAAGTCGAAAAAGGGGCATAATTCTGTCAAAATGCTTGATAGAGTTACCTCCTCCTGTCTACAGGTTGGGGTCATGATGGTGAACAAGTGTGCAAAGTTTCAAAGCCATATGTCAATGGACTTTGAAAATATTTGAGGTATTACAAAAACTTTAACATAAATTCTAAGTTGAAAAAAGGGGCATAATTCTGTCAAAATGCTTGATAGAGTTACCTCCTCCTGTCTACAGGTTGGGGTCATGATGGTGAACAAGTGTGCAAAGTTTCAAAGCCATATGTCAATGGACTTTGAAAATATTTGAACTATTACAAAAACTTTAACATAAGTGGTTACGCCGACGCCGACGCACGGGTGACTACAATAGCTCTACTTATTCTTATCGAATAGTCGAGCTAAAAAGGGGCATAATTCTGTCAAAATGCTTGTTAGAGTTACCTCCTCCTGTCTACAGGTTGGGGTCATGATGGTGAACAAGTGTGCAAAGTTTCAAAGCCATATGTCAATGGACTTTGAAAATATTTGAACTATTACAAAAACTTTAATGTAAATTCTAAGTCGAAAAAGGGGCATAATTCTGTCAAAATGCTTAATAGAGTTTCATCCTCCTGTCTACAGGTTGGGGTCATGATGGTGAACAAGTGTGCAAAGTTTCAAAGCCATATGTCTATGGACTTTGAAAATATTTGAACTATTACAAAAACTTTAACGTAAATTCGAAAAAGGGGCATAATTCTGTCAAAATGCTTGATAGAGTTACCTCCTCCTGTCAACAGGTTGGGGTCATGATGGTGAACAAGTGTGCAAAGTTTCAAAGCCATATGTCAATGGACTTTGAAAATATTTGAACTATTACAAAAACTTTAACGTAAATTCTAAGTCTAACAAGAGCTGTCGGTAGGACAGCAACGCTCGACTATTCTTAGTGCTTGATAGTAAAAAAAAATGCTTGATACAGTTACCTCCTCCTGTTTACAGGTTGGGGTCATGATGGTGAACAAGTGTGCAAAGTTTCAAAGCCATATGTCAATGGACTTTGAAAATATTTGAACTATTACAAAAACTTTAACGTAAATTCTAAGTCGAAAAAGGGGCATAATTCTGTCAAAATGCTTGATAGAGTTACCTCCTCCTGTCTACAGGTTGGGGTCATGATGGTGAACAAGTGTGAAAAGTTTCAAAGCCATATGTCAATGGACTTTGAAAATATTTGAACTATTACAAAAACTTTAATGTAAATTCTAAGTCGAAAAAGGGGCATAATTCTGTCAAAATGCTTGATAGAGTTACCTCCTCCTGTCTACAGGTTGGGGTCATGATGGTGAACAAGTGTGCAAAGTTTCAAAGCCATATGTCAATGGACTTTGAAAATATTTGAGGTATTACAAAAACTTTAACATAAATTCTAAGTTGAAAAAGGGGCATAATTCTGTCAAAATGCTTGATAGAGTTACCTCCTCCTGTCTACAGGTTGGGGTCATGATGGTGAACAAGTGTGCAAAGTTTCAAAGCCATATGTCAATGGACTTTGAAAATATTTGAACTATTACAAAAACTTTAACATAAGTGGTTACGCCGACGCCGACGCACGGGTGACTACAATAGCTCTACTTATTCTTATCGAATAGTCGAGCTAAAAAGGGGCATAATTCTGTCAAAATGCTTGTTAGAGTTTACCTCCTCCTGTCTACAGGTTGGGGTCATGATGGTGAACAAGTGTGCAAAGTTTCAAAGCCATATGTCAATGGACTTTGAAAATATTTGAACTATTACAAAAACTTTAATGTAAATTCTAAGTCGAAAAAGGGGCATAATTCTGTCAAAATGCTTAATAGAGTTTCATCCTCCTGTCTACAGGTTGGGGTCATGATGGTGAACAAGTGTGCAAAGTTTCAAAGCCATATGTCTATGGACTTTGAAAATATTTGAACTATTACAAAAACTTTAACGTAAATTCGAAAAAGGGGCATAATTCTGTCAAAATGCTTGATAGAGTTACCTCCTCCTGTCAACAGGTTGGGGTCATGATGGTGAACAAGTGTGCAAAGTTTCAAAGCCATATGTCAATGGACTTTGAAAATATTTGAACTATTACAAAAACTTTAACGTAAATTCTAAGTCTAACAAGAGCTGTCGGTAGGACAGCAACGCTCGACTATTCTTAGTGCTTGATAGTAAAAAACAAGAGCTGTCAGAAGGACAGCGCGCTCGACTTTTTTAGTGCTTGCCTATAAAACAAAACTTTGACAGTTAAGGGCACACAAGACTTTAACTAGGAATTTCTAAGTACAAATCAAGAAACATTTTCACAGAGTTATCTTCTCTTGCTTACAGATAGGTCTCATGATGGCACATAAGAACTCCAACTTCCAAAGTAATATCTCAAATGGTTAAGTCAACAAGTGGACAAGAATGAAAATCTTAACTGAGTTTCTAAGTCAAAAAGGGCCATAATTCAAATAAAATCCTTAACAGAATTACCTTCTCCTGCCCATGTTTTGGGACCATGATGGTAAACAAGTATTCCAACTTTCAAATTAATATCTCAAACAGTTCAGTCAAAAAGTGGACTGGTACTAAAAACTTAACCAAGATTCTAAGTCGATAAAAGGCCTTAATTTTTAAAACAATCCTTGACAGAGTTACCTTCTCTTGCGTACAGATGGGGGTAATGATGTGAAATAGCATTAAAAGTTTCAAAGCAATATCTCAAAGGGTTAAGGCAATAAGTGGATTTTACCCATATTCAATGTATTTTCTAAGTCAAAAAGGGGCATAATTCTGTCAAAAACCTTGACAGAGTTATGTCCTCTTGTCTGTTGATGAAGGTCGTGATGGTAAACAAGTATGGTCAGTTTCAAAGCAATACCTCCAATGGTTTTGAAATAAAGTGAGGTGGTACAAAAAACTTAACCAAGCTCAATACACTTTCTAAGTCAAAAAAGGGCCATAATTCTGTCAAAAACCTTGACAGAGTTATGTACTCTTGTCTGTAGATGGAGGTTATGATGGTGAACAAGTATGGTAAGTTTCAAAGCCATACTTGTAATACTTCTGAAATAAAGTGGGGTGGTACGAAAAACTTAACCAAGGTGTGACGCCAACGCTAACGCCGACGCCGACGCCGGGGCGAGTAGGATAGCTCCCCTTTTCATAGAAAAGTCGAGCTAAAAATGCTTGATACAGTTACCTCCTCCTGTTTACAGGTTGGGGTCATGATGGTGAACAAGTGTGCAAAGTTTCAAAGCCATATGTCAATGGACTTTGAAAATATTTGAACTATTACAAAAACTTTAACGTAAATTCTAAGTCGAAAAAGGGGCATAATTCTGTCAAAATGCTTGATAGAGTTACCTCCTCCTGTCTACAGGTTGGGGTCATGATGGTGAACAAGTGTGCAAAGTTTCAAAGCCATATGTCAATGGACTTTGAAAATATTTGAACTATTACAAAAACTTTAACGTAAATTCTAAGTCGAAAAAGGGGCATAATTCTGTCAAAATGCTTGATAGAGTTACCTCCTCCTGTCTACAGGTTGGGGTCATGATGGTGAACAAGTGTGCAAAGTTTCAAAGCCATATGTCAATGGACTTTGAAAATATTTGAGGTATTACAAAAACTTTAACATAAATTCTAAGTTGAAAAAGGGGCATAATTCTGTCAAAATGCTTGATAGAGTTACCTCCTCCTGTCTACAGGTTGGGGTCATGATGGTGAACAAGTGTGCAAAGTTTCAAAGCCATATGTCAATGGACTTTGAAAATATTTGAACTATTACAAAAACTTTAACATAAGTGGTTACGCCGACGCCGACGCTCGGGTGACTGCATAGCTCTACTTATTCTTATCGAATAGTCGAGCTAAAAATGGTCAGAAAAAATCATGCAAAGGACATTTATAAAGGGGACACACATAATTGCAGGAATAAAACATGTATTTCACTAAAATCATTTAAACAGTTATAAAAGTGAAATATATATAAGAAATTAGAAGTGATTATCGTTATAAGTGTATCGCAAATATTTGTCATCTGATATCGATGTATCTTCAATATGCTTTGCACTGAATCAATAACAGCTCTACATACAATGCATGATAGACAATGGACAAAAACTAATTACAACATCTCAGAACATTGGTACCGAGCTAAGGTAAGCTAAACATTTAGAAAAATCTATAGCAAACATGATACTTTATCTGAAGCGAGTACTACATAACGTCAGTGTTATAAAATTATAAATAAAACATGGCCACTCAGTCAACACACACTCACTTTTCGATCCGTAATATCGTGTAAATTTATCATTGACGTCGCAGAAATCCGAGGGTCTGATGATGGTAGCTTCTGGAAACTCTTCACGTACTGCCAGTTCTCCCTCATACTACATGCATCAAAATATAAATTCATCAAAATTTAATATTTTCTGCTTTAGTTAAAATGAAGATAAACAAAGATAGTATACCAATATTTGGTCTGAACGGGTTGTAGTTTTATAACACTAAATTAATAAAGGATCATTATAAAGGATCATTATAAACAAGAAGTTACAATCATTATACAATTTAACATTTTCATCAGTTGCGTAACTTTAGAATCATTTAACAATAAGAAGAGTATAGTTTATGTAAATGTTGTATGGTAAGGGAAGAAGAAACCTTTAGAAAATACAGTGTGATTGGGTATATCAATATCATATTCTAACACTCCTCGTGATTTTGTCAATATACACAAAGAAGAAATAACCTGTGTTAAACTGCCAATAAACACTGGTTAGGGACTACTTGTATATGCGGCTGTTATGTTTTCTCCCTCTGATAAGATATTTTATAAAACCTTTTAAAGGCAACAGTAATAACACATATTATAGATATTTTCTTTTCTCATTATACTTTCTTTTCACATAATGCTAAAAAAACATCTCACATACACTAACACCACAGGTTTTATTCAGATCAGTTGATAAAATTTATACGAGAAAATCAGCACCAATTCATAAGCAGGGTAATAACGTTATGCATTCATAAAGGTGCCAGAATGACATCATTTTAAACTGACATGGGTGGGGGTTTGAAGAACGCAACTCAAAAACAGTGATAAACATCGCTAAAATCGATACTATTTCACAAATGAGCCGCATCGTGACAAAACCAACATAATGGGTTTGCGACCAGCATGGATCTAGACCAGCCTGCGCATCCGCGCAGTTTGATCAGGATCCATGCTGTTCGCTTACAAACCCTATAGCAAGTAGAGAAACTGAGCGAACAGCATGGATCCAGATCAGACTGCGCAGATGCGCAGGCTTGTCTGGATCTATGCTGGTGGCAAACCCATTATGTTGGTTTTGTCATGACGCGGCACAAATAAATACCTTTGTTCTCAAAAATTTTGAGCCTCCTGACACTATATTGTTTGATTCCTTCCCAGCATTCAATGCAGAAACATGAATAAACTTGTCAACACCACATTCTGCTGCAATTTTTGCAAGTGACCTTGGCCCTTCCACATGGACTTCATCAAAAGACCAGTTCCTTAAACAGAATAAGAATAATAAGAATTTGTAACAGAGTTAGGGAAGTATTACATGAAGCACAAAATTGTGCTATTTCAAAGGTTGAGGTATGGATCTGGACATCAGCGTAAAAGTTTGATCAATGCTAGATCTACATAATTATGCAAGTAACAATATATTCATTAAAGAAATATAATGAAATAACTCCTGTGCATTATGTCAACAGAAATACATTTGTTTATTTGCTATCATTATTTCAAGGCCACAAAATGTGACAAATACAAAATCAATACAGCGTATGGTCTGTTACAGGGTACATTTCATTTCAAGGCCGTAACTTTTTCACCAATCAAGGTATTTGGGTGATTCACCAATGACATTTTATTGGCATGGCCCTTACTTTGCATCATACCAAGTAACAGACCATTTTAGGCTTTGACCTCTAAGGTAACCTTAACCTTTAAGGTAGGGGTCTGGGTGTTGTGCATGACATGTTGTCTTTTTATTAGGGATGGCAACGAATACCAAAATCAATACTCGAGTACTCGGTCATTTTTCCGATCGAGTACTCGGTTACTCGGACGATTTCCAATGATCTTCAAAGTTTATCACACAATATCAACACCGTCCGCATGCTACTTTCGTTTTCGATTTAAATTCATAGAATTCGTAACTATAGATAGGACTGCAAAGGAGACAAATTAATCAAAATTAAATCAACGACATTTTATTTGAGAACTTTTTAAATAATACAATATCAAGTTTAAAACATGTTAAACATCTTTTTCTACTTGTAATAAAATAGACTGATCGGCGGCAACAAAAATTTAAACGGGTCTAAATACTACTTTAATTATCATATCATAATAGCAATACTGCCCTTTGTTGTTTTCAAAAATGTTACCTTAAAACAAGATTCGGGTACAAACTGCGCTGTGTTACACAATTAAAGATTACTAAATATCATAAGAGGCCGGATGACGTAAGCGACACATGTGCGCGTGTCAAACTGTTGATCGCCTCATTAAATTTATGGTATCATTTTCGCACCTCTGCAAGGAAGTTGTGATTGCATTTAACAGGTATTTATGAAGGTATATGCACATCTCCGAATTTCTGAACTAATTGAATACACCAAACTGTCTAAATAGCAAATAAAATAGAAATTATACATTTTTCCGAGTAATCGAATATCAGTTTTGTTAACCGATATTCGGACGTTCGATCGAGTACTCGGTTAACCGGTTACTCGTTGCCATCCCTACTTTTTATTTTAAACATTTGTGCAAAGTTATCTCAAAATCCCTTGATTGATAAAAAGCTATTTTTATATCCTATTCTTCAAGAATGTAAACGGTTCTTGTTTTGGATATGTAATAAATACAATATTGCATGTTTACTTGCATAGTTTTATTAATGAATTTATTAAACTGACGTGTTACAAAAATAATATTATGCTCGCCAGAGGTCGAACCATACATATTTCTTCAACTTGTTCTACAAATTCAGTTTGAACCTATACTCATTCAATATATTTTATCTAAGTTTGTTTCAATGTTTGATTGGGTTTTACGTCACACCGACACAGTATAGGTTATTTGGCGATGTTCAAGCTTTACTGATGGAGGAAGACCTCAGGTGCCCTTCCGTGCATTATTTCAGGCACAAAAGGGCACCTGAGTAGAACTACCGACGTTCCGTAAGCTAGCTGGATAGCTTCCTCACATGAAAGAATCCAAAGTCCCTGTAGGGATTCGAACACACAGTGGTGAGGGGCAAGAAGTTTGAAGTCAACGACCTTAACCACTCGGCCACGTACGCCCCATATTTTATCTAAGAAGGTCAACAGCTTAAGTTTAAAATCCCATTAGACAATCAATGCTTCTGTCTTACCTTGTCTCGAAGTTCTTTCCAATCAAATTGACCACACAATTAGAATGCTTCATGGCTTGCCTCAGTGAGTCTTCATTACGTAAATTAACCTCCTGTAATGTGATGAAATATGCTAACCAGTGAAATAAAATCCATATCACTCACACTGTGACATTATACATAACTTTGCTGGCATGTATATTAAGTTTTTATGATTCCTTAAATTTTTTTTTTTTTAAATGTTGATCTTATATAACAGCTTCAAGAGTCATAATTGATTATAATGATTATAAACAGCACATTAATTGACCAGTGACTTTAATTTACTGAACCATAGGTTATAAAATTCCCCACGCAATGAGACAAAAGAAAAAGATTCTTACACAAAATAGGACTTGCCCAAGGTCACCCATCAGTTTCAAGTCTCTCAAAAAATAGGAGTCTCCCCTGTATGCACATATCACTTGTGTTCCGACCTTGGCTGAAAGATTTAACAAAATAATAAACATTCATACGGCTATATATTGCTATATTTATAATGTATATAAAAAAATCTGCGTTTAAACACAACAATGATGTACAGCGTTATTTCTCAACACTTTGGGAAAATACATGACCAAACCCCAAGATTTCAATTTTTTATGGCATACAGTAGTGCAGTATAATGTAACAACATGACAATAATTTTACTGATTAAATTTTTTGTTTCCTTAAATTTGGGAATTTTCTACTTTAAATTCGGGGGGAAAAAACATTATTTTTGGCACTGGGAACATGACCCAATATTGGTCATCATAATGGGACAGAAAAAACTCTGATGTATGAAGCCTCAATTGTTTATTCTTGTTGTCCAGTAACAGTTTCCAGAGTTACATATTGGTCATGATTCAGAAAGCAGCCTCAAAATTGGCATGAGACAGACAGACAGATGACCAGACATAACATTATATGTCAGAAATTAGTTCAGGCCTATTTAAAAGGCATACTTTTGCCAATAACGCTCCATTTTCAAAATCTTGAATCTTGGCCAATAATTGTTGATGATACTTTGATTAAAAAAATTCTACATAACACTTCAACAATTTAGGAATTGGTAACAAAATATCTTTGCTCTTAACATATACTTTGCCGGGGAAAAATATAAAATATGTAAATAGCGAGAGCACTGCATGCCCTGTTAATGCTCGTTAAAAATAATTCTTAGTTAAAAAGGGGCATAACTGCAAAAATATTGCTTTTAGAATGATGCCCCTTGTCTAGAAACTGCACCTTGTCATAATATTAAGCAAGTATTCCAAGTTTCATGTTGATATATATTGAAATGTTTGAATAATGGTCTGCAGTAAGGTTTTTGCACAACAATGCAGACAAAACAGCAGCAATCATATTCATAATTTTTAATAGCTAGACTTCTTCATCCAAACAAGTGAGCTAAAAATGCTGACTGCAGCTGCAAAATGGGCAAAAGTTTACCTAGCTTGTTGACTACATGGAATCCAAGGCAAGATTTGGCTCCAAATATGGTGACAACATTTCCGTTGAATGATGATCTTCCACCGGTTCCCCGCTTGTAGTTGGATGGTGTAATATTTGTTGATTTGTGCCTCTGAGACAAGTATATCAGCCCAGCAAACTCTTGACCCTTTGGGGCTGAAAAATACAGAATCCAGTTATCATGTTATTTTTTAAAATAACTCAAAGCATAATAATACTTACAAAAAATAGCTCATCATGTATTTATTCAATTTCACATATGCATTCACTACTAAAAAAAAAAAATCTTAAATAGCATTTTAATCAATTTTAAATAAGACATAAATTACTTCCACCTCTAACATTATTTTCAGACGTGACAGTTAAATTTTCTTATTGAAAGGTAATTCTTTTTTACTTTGATTTATTAACTACTTTGACTTTAAGCATAAGTACACTGTACGTAACATAATTTTTATTTTAAGGACTTCAAAAATTATGTGTTTTGAAAACATGAAACAGGGTTCTCACTAGGACTTTAAAACATGGAGTCCATGGACTCCCAAGCCTGAAAAAGTCCAAAAGCGTGTCAAAATTAATATGTTTACAGCTTCGTCATTTAATGCTCACAATATCATTGCTGATATTTGAATCTTCAAGAGACTGAGTTTCTGCTTTCAAAGTTTATAGTTGTTCAAAACAACTGAACTTCATAGTATAATTATTTTTTTGTTGTTAATATTTATTATGAAACAATAAAATCATAATGCAATATAATATGCAATAAAATAAAAAAAAATTACTTTTATACCAAATCAAATTTTATTCTGGTTAAATAAGTCCACTCTTAAGACCAAAAGTTTATATTTGTAAAAAGAACAAACTCAGGGTTCTCACTAGGACTTTAAAACATGGAGACCCTGAAAAAGTTGGAGTCCAAAAGCGTGTCGCAATTAATATGTTTACAGATTAGTCATTCAATGCTCACAATAGCATTGCTGATATTTTGAATCTTCAAGAGACTTCCAAGGTTTATAGTTATTCAAAAGAAACTCTGAACTACATAGTATAATTATTGTTTTGTTGTTAACATTTATTATGAAATTATTTCATTATAATGCATCAACACATGGAAATCGTTTTGTTTTTTTTTTCACTTTTATACCAAATCAAATTTTATTCTGGTTAAAAAAAGTCCACTCTAAAGACAAAAAGTTTGTTTTGAAAAAAAAAAACGTAAATGTATATAGGCAGCGTTTAGCGGAATGAATAGGAAAATCGTGTACAGCTTCACCAAGTGTGTAAGAGATTCATCCGATCGACAATTGTTTTAGCAAATATCTTCAAAAGGGGGCAAATTGAAGATCGATATTTAAAGATTTAATGTTGATTAAATAATAAAGGAACAATTCATTCGCATGTTTGGCTTGGAAACCGAGAATTTTTGCGAAATTTTAGGGTTTCTGGCGAACGTGAAATCGCCGATGTTCGGGATCAATTTTTTTTTTATCAAAGAAAAGCGTATGTGTACCTGGCATTTCGGCACAATATCTTAAATTCTTAATACTCTTATAGAAAGTTTTTGCAAGAATGAAACTAAAGCAAAATTGTGCCTAGAAAATGCCGAAAATATTCGACAATCATTATAATGCCGAAAATATTCGACAATCATTCAAAATTACACTCATTTGTAATTTGAGAAAACAGTCTTTAAACTTGCGACGTAAATAGTCGATAATTTTATCCTTTTGTCGGTAAAATTTGCTAATTTCCAATCAACTGTTGATCAAAGATATAAAATTATCACCTCGTAATCTGGTAATTACATGTACTGTACAGCGCGTGTATACATTAGTCTGATCACTATTGCGTGATAATGATCGGAAGCGTTATCGCTGATTGGCTAATCGCTTCACGGGTCGATGTGCATAGGACCGCCTACCTATAGACTGACATGCGCTGACGCATTTGTATATTTGTGGTTGTGAACAATCGGTAATGTAAATTGCGTCCCAAGGCAAAATTAAGCGTACGTGGAATCCTTGCTCTGAAATATTTGCGTCCAGCTGTAATAAACATGCGTACCGGGACGCCGAAATAAGCGTCCTCGAGAACCCTGAAACTAAATGCATATAGGCAGCTTTTATTGGAATGAACAGGATAATCTTGTACACCTTCACACAGTGTGTAAGAGATTCATGCGAGGGACAATTATTTTAGCAAATATCTTCAAATTGAAGATCGATATTTATAAATTTAATGTTGATTAAATAACAAAGGAACAATTCATTCACATGTTTGGTTTGGAAACTGAGAATTTTTGTGCCCTTTGCGATATTTTAGGGTTTCTGGCAAATGTGAAATCGCGGATGATCGGGATCAAATTTCGGATAAATATCAAAGAAAAGCGTATGTGTATTTTGGTTTGTTGTCCTGGCATATCGGCACAATATCTTAAATTCTTTAAATGCTCTTATAGAAAGATTTTGCAAGAATGAAAATTAAAGCAAAATTTTGCCTAGAAAATGCCGAAAATATTTGACAATAATTCATAATTACACTAATTTGTTAACTTGAGAAAACAGTCTTAAAACTGTAATTAATTTCCACCTGACATATTTGTGGTTGTAAACAATCGGAAATGTTTATGTCTCCCCAGGCAAAATTAAGCGTACGCGGAATCCTGGCTTTGAAATATTTGCGTCCAGTTGTAATAAACATGCGTACTGGGACGAAATAAGCGTCACAGAGAACCCTGATGAAAAAGGGGAAACAATTCTCACAAAAGAGACAGTAACCCAATATTTTTCTTTCTGTTTATGTCATATATTGATCTAAATTTAATTACCGAACAAAGTTTAAAAGAAATATCTTTTTATTTTATTATTTTTCTTAGAGATAGAATCTAGATATGATTTTTTCATGTCATAAGGTAGCACACCACAGTAATGTAAGCCACAGCTTCGAATGGCCAGGGAGGATTTCTTGGATATAGTGAATATTCTGGATTTAAATGACTGGTTGTCTTTAAAATGCATTTTCAGCATAAAATTTGTTTTTGTGACATCTAATATGATCACTGGCAAATTCGAAAACATGGCCAGAAATCACATGCTGTTGATTATGAATGTCAAGGCCGCCATTTTTTGTAAACATTGCTTTTATACAGCATGCACGGTAAAAAGAAGTCATTTTACAGGGGGGTACAAACTTTTAGCAGCAGCAAAAAATCTACCAGGTTGAGGACTAGTTTCTTTGTGATATTTTGCATGTATAGGGAGTTGCTAAAGCAGAGACGGTGTTCCTTTAGCCTGTATATTTGCAGATAATTTTTGCCAGAGGGTCGAAATGTGTTGTTTTGGGTCTCGGGCCACTGTAGAATTTGGGCTTCAACGGAATGAATTGCAAATTTTTTGACTGCCTGCCTATTGCAGATGGGATAATTTCTTTGTAGATTTGCAATCTTATGTCATATATGTTCTCAACAAAATGTGTTTTCTTTTTCCAGGTTGTGTAGTTTGGTATCAGAATTATTAGACGTATTGCTTGTAGGACATTGACGGCAGGAACTTGAAATTAACTGTGGAGTGCTACCTTAAGGTAAAATGATTTTTTTTCAAACCTTGTTTTTTCGCATTTAACTTTGTGTAAAGGCTCTACCATGCACACTGACCAAAATGATGGTGAAATTTCATAAAAATATTTGTCACAGAGCTTGAAAGTTAGGTTTAAAAAGGGGAGGTAACTCAAATACATGAAAACCTAAATGTGAAATGTATGAAAGGTGCTGTGTCTGCCATGTGTCTTAAGTCATAATGACTACTTATTCCAGGAGAGACAGCTGTGGGAGAGTGAAAATATTCACATATAGAGCTATTCGGTTGATATTTTCCTGATTTTCCAAACTTTTTTGGTGGAAAAAGGCATGTTTTTATTGCATTTCAGCTATACATGTAGAATATGGCCATCGGGCGTGTTCCATGTGATGCGAAATATTTGCACGAAGGGATATGTTTGCTTGAAATCATTTACAGGTGCAAATGGATGTTAAAGCTAGGTTTTCGGGTTAGATTTTGACCATTTTGGAGTTGGGCATGCGAGATTGAATAGTCGGAGAATTTGGTTTTCAGGGTGTCGCTTGGTGAATTTCTATGCCCTGGGCGACCAACATTGATAGATCTACAATGCTCAGAGGGCCATGATAAGTGCTGTGTCTCTTTGAATTTGACTTTACATAAAACCTTTATGAAAATTGTGCATGCTAATTGGACTTTATACTGTGCAGGATTGAAAAAAACATAGCACATTTTGGTGTCTGGCAAGAACTTAATCTGTTGTATTTTTGCCTTATATGAAGCATGAAGCCATATATTCTTAAACTGTATGCCAATTTGTTGAATATTTCTTTCATATTAGATGTTAAAAGGACATTTTTGAACATTTTGATTGTATAGATGGTATAAGAACCAGATTGTGTACACTTTACATTGGGATAACTTTCTTATTCTACATGTACTGAAAAAGGCTTGCCGAGGGCTGAAAATGGGATGAACAGCATAGTTCATTTAAGGCATAGATAATGAAAAAACAAACAATTCCCAGCAAGAATTTTCATTTTGTTTATTGAAATATGCATGAATTTGTAGAAAAAGTCCATATAAAGGTCATCAATCAATGTTATGATGCCCCTTAAGGTAGCACACCACAGTAATGTAAGCCACAGCTTCGAATGGCCAGGGAGGATTTCTTGGATATAGTGAATATTCTGGATTTAAATGACTGGTTGTCTTTAAAATGCATTTTCAGCATAAAATTTGTTTTTGTGACATCTAATATGATCACTGGCAAATTCGAAAACATGGCCAGAAATCACATGCTGTTGATTATGAATGTCAAGGCTGCCATTTTTTGTAAACATTGCTTTTATACAGCATGCACGGTAAAAAGAAGTCATTTTACAGGGGGGTACAAACTTTTAGCAGCAGCAAAAAATCTACCAGGTTGAGGACTAGTTTCTTTGTGATATTTTGCATGTATAGGGAGTTGCTAAAGCAGAGACGGTGTTCCTTTAGCCTGTATATTTGCAGATAATTTTTGCCAGAGGGTCGAAATGTGTTGTTTTGGGTCTCGGGCCACTGTAGAATTTGGGCTTCAACCGAATGAATTGCAAATTTTTTGACTGCCTGCCTATTGCAGATGGGATGATTTCTTTGTAGATTTGCAATCTTATGTCATATATGTTCTCAACAAAATGTGTTTTCTTTTTCCAGGTTGTGTAGTTTGGTATCAGAATTATTAGACGTATTGCTTGTAGGACATTGACGGCAGGAACTTGAAATTAACTGTGGAGTGCTACCTAAGCCCGATTGATCGGACATTTTAACCAGCCTATACTCTAAGTATACAGATCACAAAGAGAGGACGTACATAATTCTAAATGTCTGTGTGAGAAAAACAAATACTGTCACTGTGTGAGAATATTGTTGCTAAAATAAAATAAATAAATAAAAAAAAGAGAAAAAAAAGAAGACTGAAGTGCAGTAGTTTCCGGATATTACATTTTAGCTATGCGACCGTAACTACTGGAAACCATTGTGGCATTACTTGTAAAATATTTGATTAAATCATTTTTTAAAGCCGCTAAAAATTAGTGCATTGATTAAAAAACTACTAGAAACACTGTAAGTGCATACCCCCAATTCTGACAACTCTTGAGAGAGTTGCCATTTTGCCCTTCAACAAATGGACTGGACTACTAAATTTTGTCAACGGAATGTATGTGATAAATGAAAACTGTAAACCGGTCATAAAACTTCAAGTAATAACAGAAAGGATTTTTTATGCGGAAAGACTATATCGATCGGAAAGGGTCAGAATTACTTATTACTTTTCAATCAATCATTTTCTATACATGTGCGGTATAGTATCATAACCACCATATCATATATATATACGATATAAATCTAGTATGAAAATAAAGTATAAAATAAATATTTTATTTTTCTTTTACATTTTTTGTGACATCTCTTAGTTAAAACAAGATTGTTTATTTCAATCTCTACTGTGTAATTATTACCAATTTATTTTATATGACTTCCGACTATTTAAAGTTTAACCGTCCTTCAGGCACAAACAGCAGTACGGATCCTGCCACCCTCAATCCTTGAATAGGTAATTTCGCAAAACAATATGGTTATGATTTACCTCCAACAATGTCACCAGAGCATTAGAGCATTTGAAAATAAGGTCACGTACGGTACACCAGCTATGACACTGCATGAGAAAGTACAAGGCTGATAGCCTGATTAGGGCCGTTTGTGCTAGCTATAACATTGCATGGGTTGCTTTACAAACCGTCTATATGGGTACGTGTGTACTCACACACCCGAGTATCCCTTGTCGACATCACAACTAATGTGTAATGCCACTCGCCTTCTCTCAAGCAGTCTATGCGTTCTACGTACTTTGCATGTCTGAATAGTAATTACACATCTATGTATTTGAAATGGAGGATCTGGACAGCATTGATGATTAATTACATGTTAACTAGCTTTCGCGATAATAAAACAGATTATAAAAAAATTCTGCA